AGAAAATAAAGTAATAAAAAAGAGGGAGTTGGCCTGCAAGTGCAATGAGAAGAAATACTGTAGCACCTTTAGGAAGGAGGGGGGGTGAGATGAGGTCAAAGGGAACAGTGCCACGTTGGAGCCCACTCTGCACTGGAGTTGCTGCTGGGGACTGGCTGGCTGAAGGCAAGGGGCACATTGGATTGCTGTCAGTGGAATGTCACCAGGGACTCCAGGTGCTTCATAGCCCGGGGGAGATAGGGTTAAAGACCCTCTCCCCCCGCCCCCCCACCGCTACCCCCCACACTTCCCTGGGATTCTCACTTTAGCTATGAAGCCAAGTGCCGATTTTCTCTTAAGTCATTTCCCTATACGGGGGAGCAGATGGAGGAGGTGAGCCACATGGAGGAAGGGCAGTAGCAGGGGTGACCTGGAGCTTGGGGAAGGACAGAGTGGGAGATGTGATGAGGGAGGTGGTATAAGGCAGAAAGGTTAATGGAGAGTGGATGGCCATGGGGTGAAGGAAGGCAAAGGTCCCTGGATGACAGTGCTACACAAGAGATGCACTCAGACACAGTGCTGTCCCTCACATACTGCTGCAGCCAGTGCTGGTGGATGCTGTTCCTCAGAGCTCGTATTGGAGCTTGCCAGCAGGCTGCAAACATTGCATAAGGCTAAAGACCCCCTCCCCACCAACACTAACCCGCTCTCCTTCCCCAGATCCCCCTCTTAGCATAGAACCTACACTGACTGCCCTCCATGGCCATTGTCTACACAGATCCATAGATCCCCTCCACAAGGGAGATCATAGGGGCTGTGATAACTTCCTCCTGGCCTTGCTACCCCCCAGCAGTGAACACTCCCTGAATGTGTGGGCGGCACTCCCCTCCCCCACTGCATTACAAAACAAAAATCCCAATGCTATACAATGTAAATATCTGTGATTGGGCAATGGTAGCAGACACTTGTGCATACTGAGGTTGGCATGGAGGGACAGGGCAGCAGGTCAGGCCCAGCCCCCCAGGCTCCTCTAGCACAGAGTCCCCTTACATCTCTTTGGTGCTCATTCGCTTGGTCTTCTCAGCTGTCTCCTGGGGAAAGAGAGACCTAGGTCAGGGGTAGGCAACATTTTATGGCTGGAGTGCTGAAAAACACCACAGTGCCTACCTCAGAAGGTGCTGGAGTGCCAGCATGGCAAAAAAACAAAATGAGGGCAAGGGGTATATGGCAG